ACGGGCAGCCCGGGGCACGCTCTGGGCCCGGCTGCCATGGGTGGGTGTGATCAGCATCCTCAGAGCTTCCCTCTGTGGTTTTGGTGCTCTTGAACCAAAGCATAAGGAATATGTATGAAAGTTGAAGCCCCAAAAATTTATCTATTTATCCATCTATAAGTGTGTATATGTGTGTGTACAGTATATATACTAATGCAAATTTATGTCTATACACATATATATATACACCTCTAATGAAATAGGATTTTAAATTTTTTTTTTCACTCGTCTGGAAATACTGATTGTGCACTGGAGCTGTTTTTTAAATAATACTAATTTATTACAGAAAACTGGCTTCTGTGCTTATTCTTTCTGTGTTACAGAATCAGCGCTGCCCTGCCTGAGCAGCGTCTGGGAAAGGCACTAGGAAAACTTGGAGTTTCCCTGGGAGAAGGTTGCACCTGCAACTGGTCTACTTGTTGCTGACGTGTGGGAAAAGGCTGGTTCTTCAGCAACAATTGTATAGTTTCATTATTCCTTCTATGAGCTCCGGGGCAATTTGCTTCTGAGGAGCCCTGCCCTGCGGTTGTCTCTCTGGGATGTGTTTCTGAGGCTGTGCCTGCAGCCATGGAGGTGAGGAGGGGAAACTTTCTCCCCCAGTGTGGGACAGTCTTGTGTGTTGTAGCGGGCTGGGATGGGTGGATTCCAGCTCTGGGGAACAAATCCAGGCTCCTGGACTCACAAGATTTAAGCCGGACTTGAGAACAGGTGTCCAGCATCCAGGTGTCCGGTGGAGGGGACAGAGGGGACAGCATTGCCAGCCCTGGGGAGCCTTTCGGGTAACGCAGGGCTGCACGGGGCAACTTCCCAACCCCACAAGTCGTCCCTGACAGCCCAGCCCTGCACCCTCACAGGGTGACTCTGCCTTCCCTCTGCCAGGCTGACAGCCGCCTTCTTCCCGTGCCGCCGCGCTGACTCAGCCGGGAGCTGCAGCAGCGCCGGCTGCCGCTTTCCGGGGCAGGCCTGTTCCAGTGCTGCCGAAGCAGGGCGAAGAGGTGTCCCCTTCCCGGGCGGCGATGCTGCTGGGACAGCTTGGCCTCTGCATCAAAGCAGGCAGCTGTGCTTTGTGCATCTCGTTAGCAAAATCTCTCTCAGTGATGATGTAAGGACACGTGGTGTATTAAATAGATTGAGCTGAATGTTAAGAAAAGGGAGAGAGATGGTCTCAAGAGCTGCTCAAAGGTGCTGTTTGCTGCCAGCAAAGTTCCTCTCAGGCTCAGCTGAAACAAGAGTCTGACTTTCCTTAATTTGTTTCACTTTCTCTTTTTAAGTTGAAAATTTGGAGCACAGGTATCTGCCATCATTTTAGGTCACACGAAATGGCCTTTTGAATTTTCAGGTGTGAAGAAAGCAAACCAAAAGCCAAGCCAGAAGAATTCCTGTATGCTAAAATCAGGCATACTTCAGAGGAGTTGAGGTTTTGAGGCAAACACAGGAGCTGAAACGTTGCAATCTGTAAATCCTCGAGCAAAATGTTCTATGCTGATCTTCTCTCTCGCCATCCCAATTTATTTTATTTTTTTTAACTTGAAGCTCCTTGAGGCATTTGATCTGTAGTTGTGACCGCTCTGCCAAAGCTCACGAAGCCAAAGCCACGTGTCTGCTTTTCCTCCTCTGTGGCCCCACGGTCACGTCACCCTTCTAGCATGTGAACAGGATTCATCTCCTTGACAAATGCCTGAGATGTGTGTCCTGCATCAGCCAAAACTGCCCTGTTTTTTGTGCCATTAGACTCCAAGAAGGAGTTGCATCCTGAGCTTGAGGTCCTCCGGGCCAAGCAAAGAGTGTGCATCATGCCAGCCCAGCCCATGCGGCATCAGACAAGACCTGGGACACGCTGGCCCAGCACTATGGGACCAAACTGGCTCCCATGGCCTCCTTGTTGAATGCTGGTCTTGCAGCAGGGCACAGCCAGTGCTTTTATAACAGCCTACTAGATCTTTAAGGATCAAAAGAAAACCAACTCTTTTCTGAATTTTTGGTGGGCCAACCATGCTGGGATCCCCATGGGTGATTCAGGTGAGTCACTCACCAGCAGTAGGGACTCACCCCGGCCCAGGGGATGGTTGAAGCAGCTGAGATGTACCCATTCTGTATGACACAGAGATGTTCATGCAGAGTGGAAAAAGGCAAAAGGCTCGTGACATTTCAAGATGGCATTTTAGCAGCTGAAGTGTCAGAGTGGATGTGAGAGGGGGTTTTTTGCTCCACCTCGGAGGTGTGAGCAGCATGCGTGGCTTTGCAGAGCTGCAGCAAGAAGGTGTGATGCTTGCTGCAGGAGTGAGGTCCTGGCATGCCCCAACGGAGACCTGCCACCACCATGCAGAGCTCAGGATCTGGGTGGAGCGTGTCTGGATTACGCCCTGCTCCTTCCCAGCCAGGCATTACACATGGATCAGGATGGTTTTGTGCTGGAGGATGGAGCCAGGTCCAGGGGCAGGTGCCCAGCCTCAGCCAAGCCCATGCAGCAGGATGCCCGGCTGGGTCCCTCAATCACAGCTGCAGTGCTCAGGCATGTGCATGCACCTGGCTCCCACCTTGCACTCGCAAGTGTCCCATGCTCCCTCTGCAGCCTGGAGATGGGAGAGCCGGTGGATGAGACCTCAGACATCCAGCCAGCCCTGAAGCGCCCACCACCTCGGAGGCTGGTCACTGTTTCTCATGCTGGCCTCAGGCCCACGGCCACAACGCTGTGCCTGGAGGTATTTGGTGCGGAGGTTTGTGAAAGCTCTGACTCACCGCAATGGATAGGCTCGTTCCTGGCTGCTCTCCGTGCCGTTGGCGGTATTTTCAGCTTCTGCTGGTACCAGATCAAAGCAATGACAGGAATGCAGCTGAGAACAGCTCTTAATTAGAAACAGCAGTTTTAGGGCTTTGCAAGAGGGTATTTCTTATTACTAATTCGCAGAGAGCTGAGCTGCCAGCCTATAAAAGTGTTGGAGAGTGGAAAATTGCTATGCGGGGGCTAACGGGACTTTTGCAGCTGCCACATAGGAAACGTAGCACCTAATGAACACATGGGAGATGGCGGCTCCTGAAATGATGGGGAAAAACTAAGCTCTAATGTTTTGCAGGCTACCAGAATGAAGAGAGATCCCTGTTTGCCTTTGAAAGCCATAGGAGGCAGAAATGCAGAGAGCAGCGTCTCAGGCTGCAGCCCACCCCATGGATCTGCCATGGCCCTGCGCCCGCCTCGCGCTGCCAGCTCTCCATCCTGCTTGTCCCTGCAGATGCTCTGCCAGTGTTCTGGAACCGCCCAGAGCCACTCTGAATCCCTGCAGCCATCTCAGACACGTTTGGCGTGTGCCTGTGTATCTGGCAAGGGACCTGCAGAGCAAGGCCCTGTCATCCAGCCACCCCTATGCAAGGTGCCTTTGCAATGGCTCTGCAGCTCCAGGTAGGTCCCCAGAGTGGCATGGAGTGGCAGCATCAGAGCTGTCCTGCCAGATCCCATCCTTCAACCCAAAAAGGCTTCATGGTTTGAGAGGTCTGAGCTGCGACGTGACCCAGGCCACTGGTTCTTGCTGCATCTCTCCCCTCGTTGCTGGACCAGCACATCAGGAGATGGGTGGTCTTAGCGGCTTGTCTTGGCTGGGAAGCACACCGGGATGTGGATGGGCACTGTGGAGCCCCAAAAGCTGGAGACTAAGTGTGATGTGTTTGGAGCATGTGCATGGACAGGGCTGCAGGGCTGGTAGGCTACTGAGGTGTGAACTTGTTGGCTCAGACCTGTGTGATTTCTGCCCAGGCAGGACCTTTCCTGTAGCTCAGCAGGTCGGGACCCGAGCCCTGAGCAACGGACGATGGGGATGCCCGGGTCACCCCTGGGCCGAGCTCTGGGGCTGGGAGGCTGCAGAGCAAAACCCTTCCCACTTCATGTGCTGGTCTGGGAGTGCCCTCGTCTGGGGACGCGCGGCAAGTGTCTGCCTTCTGGAGGTGCCGTGCCCTGCTGGAGCCGAGCCGAGGCAGAGCCGTGTGTCACTCAGCTCGGTCACCGGGTCACCTTGCTCCGCAGGATGAACCCTCCTGTGTTGGATGGAGGAGCCTGACAGCTCATCCCTGCGCTTCTGAGCAGCGGGCTCGGACAGGGTCTGTGAGATACCGCGGAAAGACTCTCTGGCCGAGACAGGGTTTTTCCCCAGTATTGTTAAGAGTAGTGCATGTCCAGCAGAGTTAAACCCATTCCTAGTGTGACCAGGCTGGACAAGAGAACACCATGCTGTACCCGAGGGACTGCTTTGGCTGTTGTGATCTGCAGATGGCAGAGTTTGGATGACGTGTCCAGGTTTCTGGGATGACAGGTAGCATTGCCCTGGGAATCAGCCCATGGGAGCGTACAAACAAAGCACATCTCTAGACGCGATATTCTTCTGGTGCTCTATGTGGAGATGAGGGAATTGCAGCTCACATGTGGAGTGAGTGGAGCGTGCTGAGTGGCCTGGTACGGTCTGGAACAGAGTGAGCCCTACTCATGGTCTCAGGGCTGGTACAAGCCTCCCCAAGCCACAAGGTCCGGTGCTGTGACGCTGGAGCCAACTGTGCTGTGTGCCGGCGACTTTACTGGAGCGTGGTGCTCTGCCACGTGGGCCAGTGCCCCAGGGGACTGCAGGTGGCAGAGTCAGTGACTGCTGGGCTCGGGGCTGATGGCACCCGTTCACACCCACCCCTGTGGTCCTGGTCCGTATGTGCTGGTACTGAGCAGGGGGGTAAGCACCAGTTTAGGCACTCTGGGCTTTCTGGTGCTGGAGAAAAAGTCACTTGAGCAGAGCTTGAGCCCTGCAGGAGAGCATGACCCCAGCCCCGTGATCCGCTTGCGCAGCCTCTGCAAGCACCTGGCGCTGCACGCTGCCCAGTGCTTCTGGGAAACGAGCAGAACAGGGGCTCCTCTTCTTGCTTGGGACATTCAGAGCTTTAACAGCTCATGTCTGAGGTAAAGGAAATACAAGGCCAAGTGCTTGGGATTGCTCAGCTCCCAGAGCTTGGTAGGAGCTTCCCGGGGGCTGTGCACAGGCAGGCACTGGAGGAGGGATGTGTCGAGGGATGAGATGCTGGAAAGCCCCTGACACGCCAGCTGGTTTCCAGTTAAAGGCAGTCAGACAGCAAGGGACTTGCTGCCTTAGTCATAGCCATGTGCCTAATACTTGTTTTCGTGGTGACCTTAGACTATCCCTTTCCTCAGAGCAACACAGACAGGCTGTGGGACAGACTCACCTGGGCAGGATTTCTGCTTGCACTTACCTATTCTTCCCTGGAATAACGGGGGTCTGGACTCAACCCTGTGCAGCTCCCACCACTGCAGTAGCCCGGCTAAGTGAGGCCAGGAACGGGTGCTGTGAAGCTGCCCGCAGTGACACCAGGGAGTCATGCTGCCGTCCTGAGGGACATGGACAGGCTGGAGAGACAGGCTGAGAGGGACCTTGCGCAGTTCAGCAAGGAGAAGTGCCGAGTCCTGCCCCTGGGGAGGAACAACCCCAGGCACCAGGACATGCCAGGGCTGTCCTGGTCAACACCAAGTTTGTCAGGAGCCAGCCATGTGCCCTTGCAGCAAAGGTGGCCAACGGTGTCCTGGGCTACATTAGGAGAAGCATCACCACCAGTGGAGGGAAGGGATCCTTCTCTTCTGCTCAGAGCTGCTGACTGAGCATTTTGACTCTTAGCCTAGGCTGGCAAGCGTGGCCAGATGAGGACACGAGTCCTAATCCCTCTCAGAGAACCTGCCTGTCGTTCTTGGGATCTTAAGACTGTGCTCAGGATCTCCTCCCATTGCCCAATGAAAAAGCGCAGCTCAAATGAGCCACTTGGTCCTTGTCACTGTCTCCTCATTCAACCCAAACCTTATGCCATCGGATTTTAACCTGGCTGAGGGAGGCAGGCACTAGAATGTTCTTGAAGAGGTGAAGGAATGCATCCAGGACGAAGGAGTGCTGCAGTTTGGGTGCCCCCAGAGGAGCATGGAGAGAAGCTGGCAATGGTGCTATGTCCTCTGTCCTTCTGACTTATCTTCCCCTGGTTCCTCCCCTCATGCTGGACCCATAGCCCCTCCGTGGTCATGGCGTTTCATTATTCATTTTTTTTCCCAGGAAATAAAAGCACTCCCCAGGATGATGTCCGTGACCACTTGGTGAGTGGGGGCTGCCTCTCTGGCCGAGGGAAGGGTGGCTCAGGGAGACACCACAGGGCAGGGGATGGGCATGGCGTGGGCAGATCACAGTGCGTGTGCCCTGAGGAGGGGACATCTCTCCTGCGGGCAGGGCAGGATCTGCCCTGTGCATCCCCGTGATCCAGGGCGGCAGAGACTGTGGGCTACAGTTTCACTTATGCTAAATCTCAAAAGGGTTTCCACCATGAGGACACCCCCTCCACCCTGTGCAGCACCCTCCATGCCCAGTGGCCTTGGCTCACGTGCTGACAGTACACAAGCAAGGCGTATTAAAATAGAGTTTACTGCTGTTCTTAGTTTAAAAAAAATTCCAAACAAACCAAAATTCATTAATAACAAAACCAGTCCCCAAACCCAGTGCTATCAGAGGCAGGCTTGCGAGGACACATCTTTTAGTGCAAAGAGGGAAATGGTAGTGAGGGCTGGAGGGGGGTCTGCCGGCGCCGCGGCCCTGCAGGACCCACCACGCTCACTGTACAGTATATCTTTGCCTGCGGGGCTGCCTTGGGGAGGGCTGGCTGAATTCACCGGCACTGACGGGAGCCCTTGGGGGAGCGGGAGGTATTGGCCGGGGCAGGATGGGACATCCCGGCTGTGCAGAGCGGCTTTGAATCCTCTTGCGTCAGTGACACTGGAGGGGAAGGCACAACACTGAGCCAGGGACACCAAACCTGCCCACCTATCTCCTACAGACACAGGACTTTGCAAAGCAGCTTTTGCTCGCCCTCTTAGGCTGCCTGGTACCGGGGTGTGGAAACCAGACGGATGCCTTACCCCAGGCCTCTGTCTCCCAGTCAGACACCTGAAGTGTTGATGGGTTCTGGCGAGAGGGTGGTGGAGCTGGAGCTGCACATGGTGGCACCTCCTGCGGTGTCCTGTAAGGCAGGGAGAGGCTTCTTAGCTCACAGGAGCCAGGCAGGATCTTGCAGCCAGCAGCATGTGGCCCTGGGTGCTGGCACACACAGGAGTGATGCCCTGATCCTCAGCCCTTTGCGATTTCTCACTTGCCTCCTTCCCTGCCCACAGCAGGTCCTAGCACTTTTCATGTCAGGCACAATCCCCAGCATCCTCCTGCCCCCATGTCCAAATGAGGAGTCAGAGACACGTTACAACTCTGCAGCAGTGAGAACAATTTGTCACTGCAATAAACCACTGGGGGCAGAGCCTTTTGGTGTCTTCAGATGGAGCCTGGATGTCTTAGTGGAAGGGAGGGCTTGCCCAAAGGCAGACTGCAGGGCGCTGTGCAGAAGGGTGAACTCAAACAGCTCCAGCCCAGGTGATGTGCTGGGATCCTGGGATGCCTCTTCCCAAGCATGCAGGATGGCTGGGACCGCATGGGGCTGGAGAGCGGAGCAGCTCCGGCAGCAGATGGCAGGCAGGGCTGGCTCAGCCGTTTGAGCGGTCTCATCTCTTCCACCAAAGCGCCATTGCGGAAGGCTAGCACTCAGCTTTTCCCATGATGCGTGGCCGCAGGCCGCGAGATGCATTTTTGGGGAGTACGGATGCAGTTGCCGCTGCAGCCACGGAGGTGGTCCATACATATGGTCAGCACTGACGGTGCACGGGGGCTGCAACCAGCTGGCGGCGGAGGAGGAGAGCGTGGTGGGGGGGCTGTGAAGCAAGGCGCTATTTCTGAAAGGCAGGGGGTAGCAGTGCCTAAAACCCCCTCCAGACCCTCCCTCAGCCGGGGTTTGGTGGTGTCAGGACTGTGGAGGTGGAGGGCTCGGCCGGGGCAGTGCTGCGGGCACATCCCACTGCGGGGTTAGGTCATCTTCCTGGCAACGCTGGCGTAGGTGTGTTCTATCTCCTCATCCGCAGGACATGTGTGGCTGAACTCATCGCACGCGTAGGCATTGTTGAGGTAGCGCCAGACACCCGCCATGTCTGCTGGGATCTCAAAGTCGCGATACTTTTTGGCTGCAATCTAGAGAGGAGAGGAGGAGGAGGCTGAGACTTCCCAGACATGGGGAAGATTCCCTCTCTGGCTTGGCAGGGGAACAAATATGGGACCTCCAGCCCCTCGTTTGCATCACCCCACCCTGTAGCCCCCTCTTGGAGTGGGTGTTTCCACCTTGGACGTGCGAGCTGGTGCCATTACCTTGATGATGTGCAGTTTGGGCAGGAGGTTGCAGTCAGCCAACGTCAGGTGGTCTCCGTCCAGGAATTTCCTCTTGGAGACGGTGATGTCCTCCACGCTGTCCTGGTCAATCTCCTCGGGGAGAGGGGTGTTTAGGTAGACATCCAGACGATGAAACTCCCGCAGTAGGGCCTTCTCCAAATCTGGGTGGGCAGGGAAACAAGTGCCGTTAGCTCAGTGCCCTGGGCTCCCAGTGCAGCGCAGGGCCGTGCCAGGGTGGATGAGTCTCTCCCAGGCTTTGCATAAAGGGACAAAGCCCTCAGGGCCACGCTGGTGGTGCACAGCACTGGACCCTGGCCAGTCTCTGCTCCCAGGGGATCCCAACAGCATCAGCTCATGCTCCCTTCCAGGACCCACTCTCCCCAGCACCTGCACACAGGACCGTTAGCCCCATGGAGCGCAGGACTGCCTTCAACCTTCCTGCCTGCTCCTCCTCTTGCTAAGGAGTCTTTGGCAGGGAAGGCAGCAGGAACTCTAACGTGGTGGCAGGATTTGCCCACAGACAAAAGGATTTCTCCCCAACACCCCGGGTAGCAGATCGCAGCCCCAAAGTCCCCACTCGCATTTCTTACTGGCATTTGCTTCCTTGCGCGGGTTCTTGATGTATGCTGAGAACTTGGCAAATATGTCGCTCCCCACATCGAAGGACTCCTTGTACTTGGGGCTCAGATGCGGATACCTTTAAAGAGACGCTCACATCAGTGCAGGCAAGGATGACGGCAGAGATTCAGCTGCGTGATCTCCTAGGCCATGGTGCCCAGGGCTGGTACTGGAGGATGCAGGTGATGCTCAGCTGGTTGTGGAAGAACGGTGACGCTTTAAATGACCACAGCTGCCACCCTGGGAGCTGTGTTATCTTGGGTGTTTGCTCGGGGAAAATCACAGCGCAGGAACTCCGAGGTTTGGGGATGCTGGTGGCAGCAGAGCTCTGGCCTGGCCCGGAGGACTTGTGTTGGCACGGGAGGGGTCTGGGCAGGCAGCAGGGAGGGGTCTGGGCAGGCAGCAGCCCCACGAACGCGCTGTCGTTTGCTGACGCGCCCGAGGAGGCGGATGACAGAGATCTGAGTTTGACGCTTCCCCTTCCGC